ATTCTTCCTGAAACTTTATAAGAAGAAAATTTAGAAGAAAAATAGCACTTTAACATCAAAATAGAAAATGCAGTTTATATAATCCACTGAAATTAAGATTAACCATAGCAGTTTTACACATAGAAAATAATTACCTAATTTAAATATTCAAATTCATGCTTTGCTATGTCCTGAATGGACAACCTCAAATCTGCCTTTGAAGGCAATAATTCTTCATTCTTTTTAGTAGTGGGATAATTAAGTTTCAAATTGAGACAGGATTGGGGTGACTTTTCCAAGCAATGTATCTTTTAGATTTAGCCTCAACCAACTATTCATATGCTACAGAAAACCAAAAGACAGGAACACTAAAAAATACAGAAATGCTTTAAATCATTTTGTATTCCTATTTCAAATATGTTCTTCCATAGGGTATTATGTTCTAAAGATAATCAATAATCCTATCTACTTTTGGTATGAGATAGTTTCAATACAGAAAGTGAAAATTTACAAGCTTTCCTATTTTTCATAGCTAGTTATTAATTTAAATGATGGAAGATTAGAAACTATGAAGAAAATCACTCTTCTTTTTGAATTCACATGATCTATAAAATAATCCTTTGTTAAAAATATTACAAAAATAAGTAACTTGAAAAAAAACTCAACTTCTTTATGAGATACGACGTTTAATTTGGCAGGCCTTGAGAACACTGAGAAAGCACACAGACAACATTTTTCAGTACTATTTAGCATACACACCCTTCCCTCCTTAGAACAGATAAGCCAAACTGAAAAATATGATCCCAGGTTAAAAAACAGCTGCAGAATGTTCTCCTCTCTCTTACTTCAGAACTGACAAACAAAACAGGTGTGAGTGTGTGTGTATGCACTGCCATAGCATACTTGGGGGTGGAGGGGACAGAGAGAACAGAAAAACAACTAGCTTAGAAATTTATCGGTATATTTCCATCAAATTTGGCCTAAATGGTCCAAAAGTTCATGATTCAGATTCTGTCAGTTCTACAATTTTAATATGAAACACCAGCAGCAAAACCCATTCAGGTTAATTAAGTAGCTTTCAACAATGAGACCTGGTTCAGAGTGTAGGTATTTCCTGTACTAGCTATTTGTGTCTGTGTTTAAAACTAAATTTCTGATTAGCCAGTGGTATAGTGGTTAAGGGAACTGGATCCCACCAGACCGACATTCTGGGATTGTTCAGTTCAAGTGCCAGACCCGGCGGCTTGAAAAACACACTAGGTACACATATGTGTGTGCTCAAAATCCCGAGAGGAAAACAGAGAAGGGATTGCTGCATGGCCATACCCTTTGGGGGTACTCTCTTTCTCACTAGAGCGTACAGGAACTCTACAGCAAACTAAAAACAAACAAACAAAACACTAAATTTCTAAGTCTTCCCCACTCCTCCGGCCCATATTCACTGACATAATTTCCCGTGTTATTAGTTCACAATTTTCCCACTCAGTTCCCAGTATTTTCAGAAAGTGGTCACGTATTCCAACTTTTTGAAAGCGAGTTGAAGTACTAAAGTAGGAACAAAAAATACTCAAATTCCTTCCTGCATGAACTGTTTTTACACAAGGGGATGCCTGAAGAAGATCAGATACTACATAACTTCACTGAGTACAGAAAGTCTTCCTTGCCCGTTTCTCTTCTCCCTACCTCACTCTCAACTCTTCTGGTTTAGATGGACCATGTAGAGGGAATGTATAAAAGATGAAAGAATCTGCTAAAATTTCTGACACTGGGTGGCCTAACAGTTAAGCTAGTTTTAGTGTGGGCAGGTGGGTAGTTAAGGTGCTGGACTCCCATGGAGCCGACTGCAGTTTAAGTACCAGACATGGCTTGCTCTCTCACTTTCCTTCTCTCGCGCTGTCTCTCTCTAGTCAAATTAAAAATAATAATAAATAAAATTAAAACAATCCTTTACAAAAAAAGGTTAAGCTAGTTTATTTTTTAAATTTAATTTTATTTTTTTTTCGGCCATAGGGTGTATACACTCACCAAAGAGACAGACAGACAGAGGGTAAGTGAGAAAGCACCCCCCCACCCCCGCAGTGGGGACAGTCACACAACAATCCCTTTTCCATTCTCCTCTCGGGACTTTGGGCACACATGCCCATGTACCCAGCGTGATTTTTAATCTGCCAGCTCCAGGACTTGAACTGCAGTCAACCATGTAGGAGTCCAGTACCTTAACCACCAGGCCAAATGCTGGCACCCAATTAAGCTGGTTTTAGCTTAACTTCCCTAGTCACTTTTAGTATGGATTAGGTCACCAAAAAAGTCATGATGCATTTTTACATAGAAAATTGGTATAAGTTGAGGGACCAGCAGTTGGTGTAATGGCTATGTCTCTGGACTCCCATGTAACCGACCACGTTCTGAGTCCCAGACCCGGTAGCTTAACTCACGCTGGGCCCGTGTGCGTGCATGCCCAAGATCCAGAGAGAAGAATGGAGAAGGGATTGCTGTGTGGCCATCCCCCCCAGGGATGATTTTTTGCTTTCTGTCTCTCTGTCTCTCTGTCTTTCTGGTGAGCACACCTATAGCAAAAAAACTCTCAAAAAATAAAAATGGGGGGAACCAGCAGTTAGCGTAATGGCTATGTCACTGGACTCCCACGTAGTTGACCACGGTTCGCTCCTGGACCCGGTGGCTTAAAACTCACGCCGGGTGCCTGTGTGTGCGTGCCCAAGATCCTGAGAGGTGAATAGAGAAGGGATTGTGGCGTGATCATCCCCCCTGGGGGGGTGATTTCTCACTTTCTGTCTCTATGTCTCTCTGTCTGTCTGGCAAGCGCACGCGCCCTATAGCAAAAAT